AGCTAAATGTGAGGCAAATAAAAAATTATGTTGATTTAAACACTTGTTGTCTCGTAAAAAATAAAAATTATTTTAATGGATTTATTAGTTTTCCGTAATAATTTAATAACCAGTTATATAATCTGTTTAATGTCAAGATTATTCTTTGATAATGATTCACTGTTGCATGATGTTCTTAGAATCTGGTGTCGTTCAACTTGTTCTAATATTTCCATAAAATGTCTTTGTAGCTAGACAGGTAAATTGAGCAGTCTGCACTATCCATTTGCTTAAATTTGGTGTTTTTTTTCTTATTTCAAACTTGTATCTCCACCAGGACCATATAACACAACATGTCTGAACTTTACAATGGTGAACCGAGCTTTAGCTCATAAGATACCATTTCCCGGGAATGCATGTCAGAGAGCTAGCTTGTGGTAGCTCGGGACTTTGTCCATGGGAGTACTTCGCTCGTTCCTTTGGATTTATCTGCTGCGAAGGCCAGGCGGGCACCATGGACACGGCCGGCCGGGGGACCGGCTTTTGAACCCCCAAACCCTATTAGAGTTATGGAACTCATGTTGAGACTATTCCAGAGTTTGAGACGAGGTCAGAGTCCCTTGTCTGTACATCCGAACTACTCACAGTCTATTCCAGAGTTTGACGTGACTATTCATTGTCTACTTCCACTCCGTCCTCTTCTGCTTTGGTTTAAAAAAAAATATGCTCTTCCTAGCCATATGTCAAAAAATAATCTTTCAAAATATTACTGATAGAAAAAAAAAAAACTTGTAATGCAAATTTTGGCCTATAGTGAATTATAGAAACTGACTTAACATTATGAAATGTAAAACTACGATAATAGCCTTGTACTATAAATATAATAAACAATGATAAAGTAATATAACTCAAAAGTAATTATCTATCTATACTACAATGCGTAATGAGAGTAAACAGTGAAAAAAAATGTTCCAAAACTTGTTGTACACGCCGTGAGGATATGCCACTAAATAGTTCAGAACCCAAAAACCCCCATGGCCAGATGCGCCATAACGAAGAATAAAATAGGAAGAAATCGAATCACTCTTAATTACAGTTATATTTAAAGAGGTCTTTCGAGCTATTTAATTGCCATTATCATTATTTTTATAACTATGGGAAGACGACTTTCTCACACAGCGCCTGGGGATGGGACTATCAGGATTCGGGGAAGAGGGAGCTCCATTTCCTTGAACCAAGAGCTCTTTTCCCTAGGGAATGATCAACTATGGTCTGTACCATCAGGAACATTCCACAATCACCAAGAACTTTCAAAAAGTCACCTCATTCCCCATCTTTTACAAAAGATTTACAAAGTAATTTATTCTCGAGTCTTATCCTGTCGGTCTCACAGGAATAAATTTAACTCAGTTAAGATAAATTTACTCAGTTTTCCTAATTAAGCTAATCAAGACAAAAGTGTTAAGGTTCCAAGTTAATTACCCATCATCGCTCATGTTAAAGATTACCCAACCACCCATCATCCTGGTTAATGTCCAGTCAACCACCCATCATCCTGGTTAATGTCCAGTCAACCACCCATCATCCTGGTTAATGTCCAGTCAACCACCCATCATCCTGGTTAATGCCCAGTCAACCACCCTCATCTGGTTAAGTCCAGTCAACCACCATCATCCTGGTTAATGACCAGTAACCACCCATATCCTGGTTAATGTCAGTCAACCACCATATCCTGGTTAATGACCAGTCAACCACCATCATCCTGGGTTAATGTCCAGTTCAACCACCATCATCTGGTTAATGTCCAGTCAACCACCATTCATCCTGGTTAATGACCAGTCAACCACCATCATCCTGGTAATGCCATCAACCACCCATCATCCTGGTTAAGTCCAGTCAAACACCCATCATCCTGGTAATGACCTCAACCCCCTCATTCAGTAAGACAGTCAACCACCCATCATCCTGTTATGACCAGTAACCACCCATCACCCGGGTTAATGACAGTAACCACCTTTCATCTGGTTAATGACCGTCAACACCCATCATCCTGGTTAATGACCAGAACACATCATCTGGTTAATGACCAGTCAACCACCCATCATTGGTTAATGACAGTCAACCACCCATAAACCTGGTTAATGTCCAGTCAACCACCCATCATCCTGGTTAATGACCGTCAACCACCCATCATCCTGGTTAATGTCCAGTCAACCACCCATCATCCTGGTTAATGACCAGTCAACCACCCATCATCCTGGTTAATGACCAGTCAACCACCCATCATCCTGGTTAATGACCAGTCAACCACCCATCATCCTGGTTAATGTCCAGTCAACACCCATCATCCTGGTTAATGACCAGTCAAACCCCCCATCATCCTGGTTAATGTCCAGTCAACCACCCATCATCCTGGTTAATGACCAGTCAACCACCCATCATCCTGGTTAATGTCCAGTCAACCACCCATCATCCTGGTTAATGTCCAGTCAACCACCCATCATCCTGGTTAATGACCAGTCAACCTCCCATCATCCTGGTTAATGACCAGTCAACCACCCATCATCCTGGTTAATGACCAGTCAACCACCCATCATCCTGGTTAATGACCAGTCAACCACCCATCATCCTGGTTAATGTCCAGTCAACCACCCATCATCCTGGTTAATGTCCAGTCAACCACCCATCATTCTGGTTAATGACCAGTCAACCACCCATCATCCTGGTTAATGTCCAGTCAACCACCCATCATCCTGGTTAATGACCAGTCAACCACCCATCATCCTGGTTAATGACCAGTCAACCACCCATCATCCTGGTTAATGACCAGTCAACACCCATCACTGGTATGTCCAGTCAACACCATCATCCTGGTTAATGACCAGTCAACCACCCATCATCCTGGTTAATGTCCAGTCAACCACCCATCATCCTGGTTAATGACCAGTCAACCACCCATCATCCTGGTTAATGTCCAGTCAACCACCCATCATCCTGGTTAATGACCAGTCAACCACCCATCATTCTGGTTAATGACCAGTCAACCACCCATCATCCTGGTTAATGTCCAGTCAACCACCCATCATCCTGGTTAATGACCAGTCAACCACCCATCATCCTGGTTAATGTCCAGTCAACCACCCATCATCCTGGTTAATGTCCAGTCAACCACCCATCATCCTGGTTAATGTCCAGTCAACCACCCATCATCCTGGTTAATGTCCAGTCAACCACCCATCATTCTGGTTAATGACCAGTCAACCACCCATCATCCTGGTTAATGTCCAGTCAACCACCCATCATCCTGGTTAATGTCCAGTCAACCACCCATCATCCTGGTTAATGTCCAGTCAACCACCCATCATCCTGGTTAATGACCAGTCAACCACCCATCATCCTGGTTAATGTCCAGTCAACCACCCATCATCCTGGTTAATGACCAGTCAACCACCCATCATCCTGGTTAATGACCAGTCAACCACCCATCATCCTGGTTAATGTCCAGTCAACCACCCATCATCCTGGTTAATGTCCAGTCAACCACCCATCATCCTGGTTAATGTCCAGTCAACCACCCATCATCCTGGTTAATGTCCAGTCAACCACCCATCATCTGGTTAATGACCAGTCAACCACCCATCATCCTGGTTAATGTCCAGTCAACCACCCATCATCCTGGTTAATGACCAGTCAACCACCCATCATCCTGGTTAATGTCCAGTCAACCACCCATCATCCTGGTTAATGACCAGTCAACCACCATCATCCTGGTTAATGTCCAGTCAACCACCCATCATCCTGGTTAATGACCAGTCAACCACCCATCATCCTGGTTAATGACCAGTCAACCACCCATCATCCTGGTTAATGTCCAGTCAACCACCCATCATCCTGGTTAATGTCCAGTCAACCACCCATCATCCTGGTTAATGACCAGTCAACCACCCATCATCCTGGTTAATGACCAGTCAACCCCCCATCATCTGGTTAATGTCCAGTCAACCACCCATCATCCTGGTTAATGACCAGTCAACCACCATCATCCTGGTTAATGCCAGTCAACCACCCATCATCCTGGTTAATGACCAGTCAACCACCCATCATCCTGGTTAATGACAGTCAACCACCCATCATCCTGGTTAATGACAGTCAACCACCCATCATCCTGGTTAATGACCAGTCAACCACCCATCATCCTGGTTAATGTCCAGTCAACCACCCATCATTCTGGTTAATGACCAGTCAACCACCCATCATCCTGGTTAATGTCCAGTCAACCACCCATCATCCTGGTTAATGACCAGTCAACCACCCATCATCCTGGTTAATGACCAGTCAACACCCATCACTGGTTAATGACCAGTCAACCACCCATCATCCTGGTTAATGACCGGTCAACCACCCATCATCCTGGTTAATGACCAGTCAACCACCCATCATCCTGGTTAATGACCAGTCAACCACCCATCATCCTGGTTAATGACCAGTCAACCACCCATCATCCTGGTTAATGACCAGTCAACCACCCATCATCCTGGTTAATGACCGGTCAACCACCCATCTTCCTGGTTAATGACCAGTCAACCACCCATCATCCTGGTTAATGACTAGTCAACCACCCATCATCCTGGTTAATGACCAGTCAACCACCCATCATCCTGGTTAATGACCAGTCAACCACCCATCATCCTGGTTAATGTTCAGTCAACCACCCATCATCCTGGTTAATGACCAGTCAACCACCATATCCTGGTTAATGACCATCAACCCATCATCCTGGTTAATGACCAGTCAACCACCAATCATCCTAGTTAATGACCAGTCAACCACCCATCATCCTGGTTAATGACCAATCTACTTTGCTTCATGAAAATTGACCGCCTGTCATTTTGGTTCGGGATTACTCAACCACACTTCCGTCCAGTCCAGGACGCTCATAACAGGAAGCCTCATTTATAGTAAATTACTGAATGAGGTGGTCAGAGCCACACCCTCGCACGTTAGTGATGCTTATGTCTTACCTTCTTCCATGCCTTCTCCAACATACCAGTGTACAAAGGCTCTCTTGGAGTACATCAAGTCAAACTTATGATCGAGGCGTTCCCAGGCATCTTTGATAGCAGTAGTGTTGGAGAGGGCGCACACAGCTCTGTCTATCTTAGCCAAGTCAGCGCCAGGAACAACAGTCGGGGGCTGGTAGTTGATTCCCACCTGAAACACACATGTCTAATAGAGGTTCAGTCAAATACTAAACTTATAAATGTTCTTAGGGAACCAGGTAATGTTCTACAAAGGTTGAACTGCTGAGTCAGTGAGTTTCAATCATCCATTGTGCTATTTTCCTTCGACTGAAACTCCTTTGCAAGTTGAAACACCAGGAACCCAACTCTTTACATGGATAGCTGGTATTATTTCCTGTACAAGGACGCACCAACTATTCTAATTGTTACATACGTGAAGTGGGAAGGCATCTATCAAGACAGGATAAGCAAACGGCATTTTTACAGCACCGGGTTTAATATATAAAATAACACCCAGCAGAACCGAGAGGTTTTAGAATTTTGTTACAACAGATGCTTCTCACTAAGGCAGAAAGATCCCAAGCATAAGGAGCACCTTTATTCATGCAGTAGTAGTCTTGCCAGGAGTGCGCAAACGTCTCATTTCTCATAAACATCTAAATCTTTCAGAGTGCATGCACTGTATTTCTCATCTCCAGGAGTGCAACATTCCCACCCATCCGGGTGCTGGCACTGCGTTTCCCACCTCCTGAACCAAATCCAGTTACCTGGTTCCCCCTAAATCACACCAACAGCAGTCATACAACAAAAACCTTATAAAACCACAATACTGTAAGCAAGATAAATAAAAGTGTAATACGAAATCTAGTCTCGTACCTAGAGATGAAGACCAGATCTACCTGGAGTGAATTACCTTTGTAATTTGTCCAGCTATCAAAATTTGAGGTCTAGTCCCTGACCCATTATGTACCTCTATAATCTTTTGACTACCGCCCACAGGATGGGTATGGGGTGCATAATAAACATTAAAAAACTAAAAACTACCTTAAAACCCGTCGGGCACCAGTCAACAAAGGTGATATTTTTCTTCGTACGGGTCTCGGCAATGGCGGCGCTGACGTCTTTCGGAACTACATCACCGCGGAACAACAGACAGCAGGCCATGTATTTACCTTTCCTTGGGTCGCACTTCACCTGTAATTAGAGCGATATACCTATACAGTAGAATAATCTAGCGATATTTTGTCAGTGTAAAATCTTCAAGATATGCAAAACGAAGCAGTGAGTTGCAGAGAGGGAAAGAATTTCAGTTCGAGACTATAATAGGTAACTAATTATAGCAATTATATTTTAATAAACTGGGGTATACAATTAATATAAAACTAATTAACATGATTGAAATACTTTAAAAATGTTTCTGGTTGTGCAGAGTATTCCAAATCAGCCTTAAAATTAGCATACAGATATTGAGAAATTGTTTTAATTTACATTAAAGTGCTTTTGAGTCTTCTGAAATGTGACCACAAGATCGACACCATGCCTAACCCTTCTAGGGTAGGGTAGGTGCCTGAGCCCGAGCCTTTAGCTCATAAAACTGTCATTCCCATTAGCCCCCTTGGGGCGGGGATGGCAGACCAGAGAGGCCTAGCTTGTGGCTAGGCCTGGGGACAGTTGGTCCCAAAGATGAGGAGGTACTTGTGCCTCCTCCCATGGGAGACTTAGGTCTCAGACACTCCCTAAAGAGGGAGCCAAGGCCGGGCCACCACTTGGAAAAGGCCCGGGCCGGGAGAATTACCGGCGAATCTTTAATAATAATAATGACCCACAAGATCGACACCATGCCCAGCCCTTCTAGGGTAGGGTAGGTGCCTGAGTCCGAGCCTTTAGCTCACAAGACTGTCATTCCCATTTGCCCCCTTGGGGCGGGGATGACAGACCAGAGAGGCCTAGCTTGTGGCTAGGCCTGGGGACAGTTGGTCCCAAAGATGAGGAGGTACTTGTACCTCCTCCCATGGGAGACTTAGGTCTCAGACACTCCTAAAGAGGGAGCCAAGGCCCGGGCCGGGAGAATACCGGCTAATCTTTAATAATAATAATAATGTGACCCACAAAAACATATAAATGATCATAATTTTTAAAGGGGTGGACCGGTAAGCCAGCGGAAGACCTCGGTCAGATGACCCTAGAAGCAACACAAACCCCAGTGATAATCCAATTGTCAACTTCGTAAATCAAGGAACGAGTGAGGGTCTTGAACCCATGGTAAGAGTGTCCTAAAACTCACTCGCCAGGGGTTCAAATCCCACTCGTTCTGAGATTTGTTTAAGAACATAAGAAAGAAGGAACACTGCAACAGGCCTACTGACCCATGCGGAGCAGGTCCATTTACAATCGTGTCATTATGATTTAGCGAGTTGTAACTTGAGAAAATACATACCATCTGGTGGGAAGTGTCGAAGCACTTCGCAGTTATAGACCGAACATCAAAGTTCTCGTGGAAGGCATTTTCTGTAGACACTACAGGAGCATAAGTTGCCTGGGGGAGGAAATGACAAGAAATTTCAGTGTCTAAGTCAATTTTTTTTCTCTAAAAACTAGATAACCAAGACAATAAATTAGACATTTGTGCAACATTTGGCTATCTTGTTGCACATTGTGTCATTTATCAACTAGATCAAATGCTTTTTTCAAGTGGACTACTGTAGTATTAGCAATAAACTGCAATCTTGCAGATATAGACCCCAGGTCCATATACCGTACATATAATAGCAAAATAAAACAAAATATCAGTGAATCAAGTATGCTAATTAGGTATGATAGTTGAAATGTTACGGTATATACAAAAACGCAGAGGCAAAAAAAAAATCATATTTAAATTGAATTATGAACAGGAATCTGTTATATTAAGAACACAGTTATAATCACAACCATATTTTTAAAAGGGTGGAGGGGTAAGCCAGCTGAAGGTCTCTGCCAGATGACCAAAAGCTCCAGCTGTGGGTCATTATATGACTAAGACCCGCGTCAGGAAACACTTGTCCTGTTTCCTGACAAACCTTATACCTACCTAGGAATCTACGATACTCTAGGATACTAGAGTGTTCTTCTTCACACTGGAAGAATAAATGAAAGCAATTTACAAGAGGACGTATTAAATCTTATGGATTGGAAATTTATACACGTTTTTAATAATGAATTAATCAGTGAAGCAGAACACGAGGAGACAACTGTTCTTTATGCTGTAATTACTTGGTCACAGCTACTTCAGTAGCATGCACAAGACGTAAAGTGACGTTCCAGAGTGACGTTCCAGAGTGATGTTCCAGAGTAACTTACCAGTGGAAAATGTATCCTGGGGTAGGGCACCAAATTGGTCTGGAATTCCGTCAGGTCAACATTGAGGGCTCCGTCAAACCTAAGCGAGGCTGTGATACTGTAAAACAAAAGATTGATTTATAAGGTTTAAAGCCGATCGACTGGACAAGGAATACTGAGGTTACATTTAACCCGTACACCACCAGTCAAGAATACTTTATCCCCCATAAATGGGACCAAAATGCAATCTTAGTGCGTACATTAGTAGACACACACGCATCTCTCTACGTGTGTATTCTGCATTACAAGAACAGTCTTAACTAGTGCTGTATTAACCTGTATGAGTGTAAGACGTTGATAACACAGTTATCTTTATTCCAAAACGTTTCGCCTACGCAGTAGGCTTTTTCAGTCTAATACAGAGGCAGCAGCAGAAGTAATAGAGATGTAATCAGTCTATCACACTTGAAGACGTGGTTTTGGTGTTATAATTACCGAAGAACGAAAAAAAAAACGATGTTAATGTTTACACAGACAAAATTCTCATTCAATCGGTTTTCAGTGTAGGCCTACCAAGCTTACCAAGGTTCTACTGGTTCTAAGTCAAGTTCCAAGAACTCTCTGATCCCAGCAATCTGTGCTTACCAATTAGCCAGATGACTGGAGGCGATGGATGCGGATCGCTGGGCTAAAAGCTTGATGAATCTCCTGGGTTGAGAGGCCAGTATCAGTCAATGAAATGTGACTCATTTCAGATGTTTCGGGAAGGTTTCCTCCATAGAAAAAGCCTCATCTGTATTCATCAGTCTATGGCAAGTCTTGATTATCTTCGTGCACTACCTCGTTACCATGTTCCAAAACACCTGGTTACCATATTGGAGATCACTCGGTTACCTTACTGGAGATCGAACCAATTGTCTTTCTTACCTGGCGTTTACCTGGAGAGGGTTTCGGGGGTCAACGCCCCCGCGGCTCGGTCTGAGACCAGGCGTCATGGTGGATCAGGGTCTGATCAACCAGGCTGTTACTGCTGGCCGCACGCAAGCTGACGTACGAACCACAGCCCGGTTGGTCAGGTACTGGCTTTAGGTGCCTGTCCAGTGCTTGCTTGAAGACAGCCAAGGGTCTTACTAGATATCACTCATTTAACTTACGGGAGACCACAATAATGCAGACCATGATACAACTAATTTACCACAACCAGATACCATTAATTTACCACAGACTACTCGGCTACAAACTGACCAACACATAAGAGACCACTCTCCAATCGTTCTTAAAATTAACTCATTTGCCATACCTGGAGACGACCTGGCCAATCATGCGGTTGAGATTGGTGTAGGTAGGTCGTGTGATGTGCAGCTCTTTCTGACAGAGGTCGTAGATGGCTTCGTTATCCACCATGAAGGTCACATCTGCGTGCTCCAGCGTTGTATGTGTGAACAGTATAGAGTTGTAAGGTTCAACCACTGCCGTCGAGACCTGTCGACGTTACAGAGAGCTAATTTGCACATCCCATCACCTGCCTGCATGTTTGCAGTGATGTTTAGTAGTTTTAGGGAGACAAGTGGTGAGAAAGAATTGTGGAAATGAGCATTAATAGAGAAGTTTCGCCTATGGATAGGCTTTTTCAATCATTGACAACAGAAACCTACATGAGACAGCAGACCCTACCTGAGGCAGCAGACCCTACCTGAGGGGCGGGGTAGATAGAGAAGCAGAGTTTGGATTTTTTCCCGTATTCGAGGGAGAGGTACTCCATTAAGAGGGAGCCGAAGCCCGAGCCAGTGCCTCCACCAAAGGAATGGAAGACGAGGAAGCCCTGGAGACCTGAACACTGATCCGCCTGTTTCCTAATGCTCTCCCTGACGACATCCAGCTGCTCCTTACCTGTGGCCAAACACAATAACCTGTTACTTTATTTAAAGTCAAACATTTTCCCTTGGGGTAACTGATTCATTTAGAATCCTAAGAGAGTTTTAGAGTAATGAGCACTGTGGCTTTTATCATGTTAATGATGGTAATACGGAGAAGCCGATGAATAAAACGCATGTGCAATACCTGGGTATCTATTGTTGATACGTCTCGCCTGCTCAGAAGGTTTCTTCAGTCGAATATGACAAAGAGAGAGCGGGAGTAATTTTGAGACGATCAGTCCCTTAGTCTAATACGTGATCAGTCCCTCAGTCTAAAGAGAGGTGTGCAGTCAGACCTTGTATAGTGGAGCGGAAGTGAGGTGTAGCAGCTGGAGGTGACTCCACAGGAAAGTGTGATCCACTAGTGGAAGTAGGTCATGTCTAGCACTTGTATAGCAAAGAAGTTGCATATAGCTTCCTCTGTACCAAGATACCATAGTGTTAGTGTCTCAAGTGTTATATTAGCCTGAATTTGACTGAAGAAGCCTGCTGAGCAGGCACATAGTTTCGGCAGTAAAGGTACCCAAGTGTTATTTGGTAAAAGGCCAAGTGCAATTAATGCGACATTTATGTCAATCGAGGCACTTGTGCCTTTTATCTAACAAACTGTCGCTAATTATACCAACATTATTATATACACAATTGTTGCACGCGAGTCTTACATACCAACTTGTCAATACTGAATAAAAATTAACCACTTACAACATACCACACCGCTAATAACGTCAGTAAGAAAAAAAACCCTGGCAGCAGAGCTATGCTGGAGGTCTCATGGTTCTCAACACTTGCATACTGGAAGCAGTGACCACCAAGCCAAAGAAACGGGAAAATTTACCAACAGTGTAGTGACCACGAGCGTAGTTGTTAGCAGCATCCTCCTTGCCAGTGTGAAGTGTGTTTGGGGAGAAGAGGGACTTGTAAGTGCCAGTCTTGATCTCGTCTGTAAAAAAATATATCACATTACTAAATCACATGCTGCTTAGCAAATAGATGATCTCATTTTGTGTCAAAAATATCGACTACACGAGGGTTTTTATATATATATATATATATATATATATATATATATATATATATATATATATATATATATATATTTATATATATATATATATATATATATATATGCAAAACAACCACTCTGAAAGAATAGAGAAATTCCAAGCGCTTTCGTGACTACTCACATTATCAAGGAACTATGAAAGTAAAGCATCCAAGGAAGCTATATAAGGGGTCTGGCCAACACCTCTATCAGATCCCACAACGGTTAAACACCTGACGCGCGCCGGCCCAACTGGACAGGTCCTTCGCACAACCCACCAACAAACTATTCTACCCAAGAAAATTTTAATTAAAAATTATTTGTCCAGTGTATTATTAAATTCTTCCCAAATTCTATTAATTATAAATGGATCTAATTGATTTTCAAAAAGTTGAGAAAGTAGTATCAAGCAAGTCCATGGTCGACAGGAATATAATTGAATCTTGTTTCATAAAAAGCAGTTTTGACAATAATATGAATATTTCCTTTGGTTTATATAAATTAGATCCATTTATAATTAATAGAATTTGGGAAGAATTTAATAATACACTGGACAAATAATTTTTAAATTTTCTTGGGTAGAATAGTTTGTGGGTGAGTTGTGCAAAGGACCTATCCAAGTTGGGTCGGCGCGCGTCAGGTGTTTAACCGTTGTGGGATCTGATAGTGAGGTGCTGGCCTGACCCCTTATATAGCTTCCTTGGATGCTTTACTTTCATAGTTCCTTGATAATGTGAGTAGTCACGAAAGCGCTTGGAATTTCTCTATTCTTTCAGAGTGGTTGTTTTGCATATTCTGAAATCACCTGTTTACTGTGATCTTACATACGTTACCAAGGTTATTTTTAATGTCTAAACTAGGGTTGGAAATAAATTTATTGCACAGAGATACACACTTAAGTACATACTTGTGATTCGTATATATTTTATTTATACATAAATTACAAGTTATTTTTAATGTCTAAACTAGGTGGAAATACATTATTATTGGCACAGAATACACACTTAAGTACATACTTTTATTAATGGATATTTATTTAGGTAAAATACAACTATTTACAGAGCATAAAATTTATTCATGAGAAATATGCTCATTCATATTTGGTTATCACAAGTAAATCCTAGTAAGTTCAAAAACGTATATTATTGAATGAAGTCTTTATCTAGGGCAAGTTCACCAGGAATCTCAACTGAGGAACAGTGTGCTCAATCGAGGATACAGTGCTCAACAGGAACAGTGTGCTCAACGTAGGTTTTGCTGTCGATTTAGAATCAATGAATCCTTGGGAGAAAGTTACTTGCCCCTGAGAAACCCATCCTCACAACCCACTCCATACTACACCTAAACGCATTAAGCTCTTATCTAGTCTTCCCCACCCACCATAAACTCAGAGTTCTTGAGCTTCCATACGGGTCTAATGGGCTCCTTAATGCACCAATAGCGACTTCAGGAAAGCCCTAAACTCGTAGGGTTCATCAATGCCTGAGTCATGATAGGAAATTAAGGTTGGGACCTGGAGGACGAAGTTCGGTTTTCCCTATATCAAGTCCCCCCTCACTGGCATCAAGGCAACCGATCTTATATCTAAGGTTACTAGATGTTACTAGTACTTTCTAGGGTCTTTCTCCCCGCTTAGTTTCTAGTTTGATCGAGAAGGTTGTTGGTGCCTGTCGCCCGCAATCTAACACAAGCATCACAGCCCCTGTGATCAGGAAGTGACTTCAGGAATTTATCAAGTCTCCTTCTGAAGGCACCTAAGAGGTTAGTTGCCAATTCCCCTTATTCATGAAGGGAAGGTGTTGAGTCTTGGTCCCTTTACACTGAATTCTCTCTCGTGATTTTTTCACCAGAGGTATAGTACACGGTCTGCTAAGCCTCTGGCTTTCATATGGAGTAATTTCGGTGTAAAGGTTTGGAACCAATCCCTCCATAATCTTCCAGGTGTAGATTATGATGCATCTTTCTCGCCTACATTCTAAGGAGTACAGTTCGAGGGACTTCATGCGCTCCCAGTAATTTATGTGGTTGGCTAAAGTTATAAGAGTTATGAAGACTCTGTCTTGACGAGGACTGTTGGTAAGAAGCAATATGCCAACAGAAATAGAATGAGTGACCTGGAGACTAGCAGTGGCTTGGCGTCTCTTATGTTTTGAACGTTCTAGTTATCCGGCTTATTATTTTTTATGTGATTTTGATAGCAACATTGTTGAGGGATGTACAGGAGAACAGCGAGGCTCCTCATGTTATACCTGGGAGACGGGAAGAGCGAGGCTCATGTTATACCTGGGAGACGGGAAGAGCGAGGCTCCTCATGTTATACCTGGGAGACGGGAAGAGCGAGGCTCCTCGTGTTATACCTGGGAGACGGGAAGAGCGAGGCTCCTCGTGTTATACCTGGGAGACGGGAAGAGCGAGGCTCCTCGTGTTATACCTGGGAGACGGGAAGAGCGAGGCTCATGTTATACCTGGGAGACGGGAAGAGCGAGGCTCCTCGTGTTATACCTGGGAGACGGGAAGAGCGAGGCTCATGTTATACCTGGGAGACGGGAAGAGCGAGGCTCCTCATGTTATACCTGGGAGACGGGAAGAGCGAGGCTCCTCATGTTATACCTGGGAGACGGGAAGAGCGAGGCTCCTCATGTTATACCTGGGAGACGGGAAGAGCGAGGCTCCTCATGTTATACCTGGGAGACGGGAAGAGCGAGGCTCCTCATGTTATACCTGGGAGACGGGAAGAGCGAGGCTCCTCATGTTATACCTGGGAGACGGGAAGAGCGAGGCTCCTCATGTTATACCTGGGAGACGGGAAGAGCGAGGCTCCTCATGTTATACCTGGGAGACGGGAAGAGCGAGGCTCCTCATGTTATACCTGGAGACGGGAAGAGCGAGGCTCCTCATGTTATACCTGGGAGACGGGAAGAGCGAGGCTCCTCATGTTATACCTGGGAGACGGGAAGAGCGAGGCTCCTCATGTTATACCTGGGAGACGGGAAGAGCGAGGCCCTCATGTTATACCTGGGAGACGGGAAGAGCGAGGCTCCTCATGTTATACCTGGGAGACGGGAAGAGCGAGGCTCCTCATGTTATACCTGGGAGACGGGAAGAGCGAGGCTCCTCATGTTATACCTGGAGACGGGAAGAGCGAGGCTCCTCATGTTATACCTGGGAGACGGGAAGAGCGAGGCTCATGTTATACCTGGGAGACGGGAAGAGCGAGGCTCCTCATGTTATACCTGGGAGACGGGAAGAGCGAGGCTCATGTTATACCTGGGAGACGGGAAGAGCGAGGCTCCTCATGTTATACCTGGGAGACGGGAAGAGCGAGGCTCTCATGTTATACCTGGGAGACGGGAAGAGCGAGGCTCTCATGTTATACCTGGGAGACGGGAAGAGCGAGGCTCCTCATGTTATACCTGGGAGACGGGAAGAGCGAGGCTCCTCATGTTATACCTGGGAGACGGGAAGAGCGAGGCTCCTCATGTTATACCTGGGAGACGGGAAGAGCGAGGCTCCTCGTTATACCTGGGAGACGGGAAGAGCGAGGCTCCTCATGTTATACCTGGGAGACGGGAAGAGCGAGGTCCTCATGTTATACCTGGGAGACGGGAAGAGCGAGGCTCCTCATGTTATACCTGGGAGACGGGAAGAGCGAGGCTCCTCGTGTTATACCTGGGAGACGGGAAGAGCGAGGCTCCTCATGTTATACCTGGGAGAACGGGTAGAGGAGGCGAGGCTCCTCATGTTATACCTGGGAGACGGGAAGAGCGAGGCTCATGTTATACCTGGGAGACGGAAGAGCGAGGCTCCTCATGTTATACCTGGGAGACGGGAAGAGCGAGGCTCCTCTGTTATACCTGGGAGACGGGAAGAGCGAGGCTCCTCATGTTATACCTGGGAGACGGGAAGAGCGAGGCTCCTCATGTTATACCTGGGAGACGGGAAGAGCGAGGCTCCTCATGTTATACCTGGGAGACGGGAAGAGCGAGGCTCCTCTGTTATACCTGGGAGACGGGAAGAGCGAGGCTCCTCATGTTATACCTGGGAGACGGGAGATAGAGAGCGAGGGCTCCTCATGTTATACCTGGGAGACGGGAAGAGCGAGGCTCATGTTATACCTGGGAGACGGGAAGAGCGAGGTCCTCATGTTATACCTGGGAGACGGAAGAGCGAGGCTCATGTTATACCTGGGAGACGGGAAGAGCGAGGCTCCTCGTGTTATACCTGGGAGACGGGAAGAGCGAGGCTCATGTTATACCTGGGAGACGGGAAGAGCGAGGCTCCTCATGCTATACCTGGGAGACGGGAAGAGCGAGGCTCCTCATGTTATACCTGGGAGACGGGAAGAGCGAGGCTCATGTTATACCTGGGAGACGGGAAGAGCGAGGCTCATGTTATACCTGGGAGACGGGAAGAGCGAGGCTCCTCATGTTATACCTGGGAGACGGGAAGAGCGAGGCTCCTCGTGTTATACCTGGGAGACGGAAGAGCGAGGCTCCTCATGTTATACCTGGGAGACGGGAAGAGCGAGGCTCCTCATGTTATACCTGGGAGACGGGAAGAGCGAGGCTCCTCATGTTATACCTGGGAGACGGGAAGAGCGAGGCTCCTCATGTTATACCTGTGAGACGGGAAGAGCGAGGCTCATGTTATACCTGAGAGACGGGAAGAGCGAGGCTCCTCGTGTTATACCTGGGAGACGGGAAGAGCGAGGCTCATGTTATACCTGGGAGACGGGAAGAGCGAGGCTCCTCATGTTATACCTGGGAGACGGGAAGAGCGAGGCTCCTCATGTTATACCTGGGAGACGGGAAGAGCGAGGCTCCTCATGTTATACCTGGGAGACGGGAAGAGCGAGGCTCATGTTATACCTGGGAGACGGGAAGAGCGAGGCTCATGTT